GCCACGGCTGGGAACGACATAATATACTGTACTCCCCTGCTTGTATTATTTCATTATAGATCGGCTAAGGGTTATTTAGAGGGCCACAACAAGTAATAGACAACACCAGAACTAAACTCTCTAGAAGTTTTTTTCAGGGTCAATAACTACCCTATAAACTCATCTCTAGGGTGTGTTTCAGGTCATCTCCACTTAAACTCATCTCTTGGGTGTGTTTACAGGTCACATCTACCACCCTTAAGCTCATCTCTAGGGTGTGTTTCAAGAGTCATATAACACATACAACTCATCTCTAGGTGTGTTTCAGGGTCATCATTCAGTTCACTAATCTAGTTGTTTTGTGATGTTTACTGAACTTGTTGTTTCTTTGACAGGCGTAAAAGACCCCGTTGCCTCACTCCCTAAAGAGAACCAACCTTAAAGATGAGTATGAGGAACATGGAGGCTCTCAGGTAAGTGTGTGTGTGGTGATGTTTTTGTTTTGTGTGAAAAAGTTCTATTTACTCGGTCAGTTTTGTGAATGTTTTAATGAATCTCAGTTTATGTGATTAAGTAATTTTTTTTACAGATTGTTGGAAGAAAAGAAGAAAGAAGTTGAAGAATTTTATAAGCCTGATTCTGATCAAGAGGACCCAGATGACAGGGACTGGTCACCACACACATGACCAAGAGTCAGGAGCTGTCTGATGGTGAAATGGACCTGGATATAAAATCGGAAGTGGACAAGATAACAAACCAACTAACAATATTTCCCGATGACGATGATGAAACTCCCAGATCTATCTCGGGTTATTGGAGACTCGTCGACTCGAGGCGATGGATGAAGACCTGCCTGTAGAGGAACTTCAGACACCTGCAACACTAGTAACTGAAAATCTACTGTGGGGAGAAGGGCCTCTCTCTTGTCATCTACAGGCAAATGATGACTGGGTATATCTAAGTGAGTCCTTGGTTGGAGATCAGACCCAGGTGGGAGATACAGCCATGGAAGATGAAGGTGTTGGCTCCTCTGTCCTGTCTTCAGTACACCGTCAGGTATGAAAGAATAATGTACAAAATAATGAAGCTAATGTACAAAATAATGAAGTTATGGAAGGTAAAGAGCGAAAGATATGGATAATGATGTTACACGATGGAGTGTAGAGGAGATAGTGAGGGTAAATTATTGCCTTGCACTAGATAATTTGAGTCTACTTTCCAAAACAACCGTGAAGTGAACCTGTTAAGTTTACCACCCAAAACCGCAATTATTAGGCGGTGAACTCGACAAGACAGAGATTAAACTGAACTATTGAAGAGCCTGAAACGCCCAAGTTGAGCTTAATGAAAAGCCATTGAACAACACTGACACGCCCAAAATTGAGCGTGGCGGAAGATGAAATTAACAAGACAGAAACACCGAAACTAAACATCTTGGCCTTGAAGATTCCAGGCGGACCTGGCGGAATAATCAAAATACGCCGAAGCCTCAGTCTGGGCGGAGCAACGATTTCATTGACCTGGAGGAGGAGACTACAACCCAAGATGATACCTGGCGTGAGTGAGCTGATGAGCCGCCTTCAACAGACACTCTGCCATTAAGAGGAAGAAGCCGCAGGTAAAACAGCAAGTGAATATGAGGTGAGTAATGAGGTCATATCTTCCTTTTCTCCTTTTCTTTCTCATTTTCTTTTTGTTATTTCTCATTCTGTTTCTTTATTAAATTTCTCATTTTATCTCTTTATCTATGTTCTTCTCCTCTCATTTTCTAGTTTCTATTGCTCTCCATCTTTCCCTCCCTTCTCTCTCTCTCATTCATTCATCAATTTTCGTTTCTTTTTCTCATTTCCTCTTTTCTAATGTCCTTCAGGCTATGTGGATCATCTGGCCACACTTATGTATATCCAATATAATCAATGACCATAACACCCTTCAACCTGTGGAAATTTGAGAGAAAGAGAGACATAACACATATACAGGATACCAATGTGTCTTTTACTGATACAATTAGTCATATGTGTATCATCATGTGTTATGGCAGACACATCCATCCTACTTCCTTCATTTTGGTAAACATAATTATTCCAGTCTGTCGTGTAAAAGAATTAGATAGAGATTTGGTGAACTGGAATTAGATAGAATTTTAGTATTAACGGGAATTAATTATTATCTTTTTCCCAGTATTGTACAGAAGGAGAAGGATGATAATGGGGAGGAGAAATCGTGTCAAGTCGAACCTGAGGATCACTCTGGATGCCGAAGAAGATGATGGGGTGAGAGGTGGTCTTTTTCTGCTGGTGATCTTGGTGACATGCTGGGGTCTTAATCTTGGTGCATGCTAGGGGGTCTTAATCTTGTGGTGAAATAAGCTAGGGCGTCTAATCTTGAGGTGAAATAAGCTAGGGCGTCTAATCTTGAGGTGAAATAAGCTAGGGTGTCTTAATCTTGAGGTGATAACTAATCGTGCGGGTTCTAGCCAAAAGAGGCGGTGCGGGAGCTCGCTTGGTGTCCCTCAAGATGGCGCTACAACGAATCGAGCAGCGAGGAACAGCACAGGATGAGGAGGTGAAGGAGAAACAGTTTATGGAGACTGAGCAAGTTATCCGGTGAGTCAGTCAGTGAAGGTGGTGGCAGCTACTTGTCTTGTGTGCTCAGAGGTGGTGGCACTGTTACTTGTCCTGTGTGCTCAGAGGTGGTGGCACTGTTACTTGCCCTATGCCTTCAGAGGTGGTGGCACTGTTACTTGTCCTGTGCCCTCAGAGGTGGTGGCATTGTACCCTATGCCTTCAGAGGTGGTGGCACTGTTACTTGTCCTGTTTGCTCAGAGGTGGTGGCACTGTGACCATTATATGAGGGTTGAAGTCACCATAATGTAAATAACAGTGTAAGAGTAAAACCCACAATGGCAGACAAAATGCTGATACCAGAATGTTGTCTGACATTGTGGGTTTATTCTTGTATGATGCAGCATTAAACAATAAACTTCAGATGTAGGAAACAGGTGATAGACTTGTTGAATGTTTACTTGCAGTGAACTTTTTTATCCATTAGATTTAAAAATGGATTATATTAACCAAAGTTGACATTGTTTAGATTACCAAGATGACGGAGGACTCCCAGACAGACTTACTGACCAGAGTGACACAAATGCGAGACAGAGTCCGAGCAGGAGAGAACGGCGTGATCATCAGGATAAAAAGCGCGGAAAACGCTTTTTGTGATGATGAAGCAGAAGGATGATGATGCGATGATCAAGCTGGAGAGTTGATGATGAAGTTAATGATAATGATGATAATAATGATGATATGATGTAAGGTAAGTTCAGATCTGTAGTTGCTGCCTCCTTGTACTGAAGGCTATTAGACAGTGTGCTTTGTCACTTCTGCTGGGGAGAGTCTGGTGGGAGGTGGTGGTTGTATCATCCATGGTGGGGGTACAGTGTAGCTAAGCACATAGACTGGAGTGGCTCAATTATCACCCTGCATCAGTACTGTCATCTAGGCCTCCGTGTGGAATAAGTTTGGATGAATAATCTTGAAGTGATCCAACATTTATAAAGTTTGGATGTATAATCTTGAAGTGACCGACATTTGTAAATATTTTCAGCCGGAAGCAGAAGGTGGGACAGCAATGACACCGTCGAGATGCCTCAAACCAGAAATACTTGGTTCACGACGACGACGACAGAAGCTTCACCTACTGGGAGGAGGTCAGAGGATGTTAACTCTATAGCTCGACCAACTCCTCTCCTCCCTGCCATCACTCGCTCCAGCACCGAGGACTTGTTTGCCTCCAGACCGCTAAGAAAGGGTGAGTTAATGTTACTTTTAAATGTTCAACCAACTTGTCTCCTTGGTTCACCACATCTACTAGACATTTATTTCCTTGTCTAACATGTACAGCATCTTGACATTATATATATTGTACTGTTTTATCTTTGTGGATGTTTGAAATTCCTACAAAAACACATATACTGTACTGTAGTTAGTTACATACAGTAGCTATACAAACAGTAAGTGTGAAGTCGTCTTAGCTGTTTCCTGTCATTTTCCACATTAGTACATTATCGTCCCCAACTAATCACCTTGTTTGGAATTTCTTTGTACAGTACATCTATATTTTACACTTACAGATACTCCACAAGAGTCGTGCAGCCTCTCTTCCTGAACCACAAACTCCAGTCTCGTGATATTTTGTCCTAAATGCCTCGGATGCGGAGTCTGGGGGTTAGTGGTTCAGGAAAGAGCAAAGGACTGTGTGTGACTTGACTCACATTTTTATAGCTGTTTGGTATTTTCAGCGGACAATGTCTAAGGACACAAGCACCATGTCTATGGACTCCAGTTTTGAGTTATTTGGGTCAGTAATCCCTGGACACCAGCCTGGAGGAGGGATGAGACAGCAGAGGCAGCCGACCCAGTGAGGGTGATGGAGACAACACCTTCACACCCTTCATCAAGTTGAAGTCTGGCGGCTGTAGTAGTATTGGGGTGAGTGTTAACTTATATACCTGCAGTATACTCCCTCCTTGACCTCTACTGAGAATCAGAGAACAGGCCCATGTGAACGAGCCCAACTCATTAATTTAGAGGTCAAGAGTCTGACCTCTTGGTCATGCTCAGAGAATGTGCTTTAATATGCAGTGTAAGAATAACATTACTAAATAATAAATGAATAATAAGTAAGTTGTGGTTATTGTTATATTAACCAACAGTGTTGTATACAGTATACATGAAGAGCACTTGATGTGGGACTGTGAGAGGTGTGGATAGTCTGTGGGTGTGTGTGGATAGTCTGTGGGGTGTGTGTGGATAGAGTCTGTGGGGTGTGTGTGGATAGTCTGTGGGGTGTGTGTGGATAGAGTCTGTGAGGTGTGCGTGGGTTAATCTTCAGGTGACTAAATACTGCTCATTTGTGATCAATATATTCACACTTGTTTTGTGTCTTCAGAAGGGCGCAATGATTTGAGTCTCCCCATCGAGGATTCCCTGGACTGGGTCATAGCGCCTTTAAGCCACCACCTCCCTGTCCCCTGTGGGCTGGTCTTCACCTAACACAGTTGGAAGAATCACAGTTTCCTCTCAGAAGTCACAGAAGGAGACAAGTTCTGTGGCCAAGTTGAGGCTCGACTTTACAGATATTGGCAACTGTCAGGAGAACGATGACTTGATTGGTCTTTGTTCTGGACAGTTTACAGGTGTGTGTGTGTTGTATTACAGGTGTGGGTGTGTGTTGTGTTACAGGTGTGGGTGTGTGTTGTATTACAGGTGTGTGTAATAATAAAATAATAATAATAATAATAATTAACGGTTTATTGAAAGAGCTTAGCAGCCAGAAGGCTGAAAATATACAGTTACATTTTGGGGAATGGGTTCTAAATTACAAATAATATACAAGTAACATGAGTGACACAAATAAGACATATAATAACTAGATGGGGAAAAGCTCAAACTACAGTTCATTTCAACATAGTAACAGTGCAAGGAGTAGTGTTTACTGGGAGTGAATACACTGATTTATACAAGTTATTAATAATTTTTACAATGGTTGGGACTGGGCTGTTCTTATAGCGATCAGTTCGGTACGCGTATGGGCTGGATGCGGTTGTGGTGTCGAACAGCAATTCTCGGACTAGGGATCTCAGGTGGTAGTAGGGCGGTGTGGGGATGGTGTAAATCTACCAAATTTGCAGATGAGGTCGTGGTGATGGTCAGTGAGAGTCGAAAGGGTCAGTGTGTTGAGCGCTTCTTGATATGTGGAGTAGGAAGGGGAGAATAATCTTGCATGCCCTCTTTTGCACTTTTCTAGGTGTTTACGTTGTGTGGCATTTAGGAGGAAGACCAGGTGGGAGGCATAGGTGAGCTTGGGAAGTATGAATGTTGTGTAAACACTGAGGAGCTCGTGTGCAGGAACTCCGAGGGACTTGAGTCGGCGTGGGGTGAGCGGAAACTGGAGATTTGATAACTTCACTGACGTGTGGTTTCCAATTTAGTTTGTTGTCTATGGTGACGCGAGGAGCTTCGTGTATCTACAACCTGGAGTGTGTTGGGACCTAGAGTAATGGAAGGTGGGACAGTGTCGGAGGAGGTTGATGTGCATAACCATGGTCTTGGTATGGTTGATGGTGACATGGTTGTTGGTGGCCAGTTTTGGAGACTGTTCAATAAATCCTGAAGGGCGGTATAGTTGGGAGCAGAATTGTTGGCCTTGATCCCAATGGTGGAATCGTCGACATATTTCCAGCGAGCAGGGGTTTCTCTTAGGGCATCATTGATGAGCATAAGGAAGCAGAGTGGTCCCATCTTGGTGCCTTGGGGACGCCACAGGTGAGTGACTGAAAGGTGGAGACAGCCCTCGGGCGTGCAGCTGGCGTCGGTCACTGAGGTCTGTAAGCTATGGTATAGACTTCTCCGAAGCCCAGGTCAATAAGCTTTGTTGATGATTATATTGTGGTCGACTAGGTCAAACGCTTTAGTGAAATCAATGAAGGCGACAGCTACAGACGTTTTCGTTTCTCGAGATGGCGGTATGTCGAGAAGCTGACAGGACAGTGAGTGGTGGAGGAAGTTTTCATGTTGCCAAATTGCTAAGGTCTCGACTCCTGCAATATCAGCATAAGCCCAGTGTGTGTTGTGTTTCAGGTGTATGTGTGTGTGTGTTGTGTTACAGGTTTGTATGATGTTATTATAGTTTACAGGTGTGTTAGAGGTATTCAGGGCACTTTACAGGTGTGTTGTAATCATTCAGGACCATTTGCAAGTCCGTTTTGTAGTTCAGGGCAGTTTACTGAGACGTCTTTTTTTTCTGGTAATTATTATTATTATTTAGGGATCATAACATGAGCCCCAACTTATTTCACCTGATGATTAAACACCTTAATGATACCTGGGGGGGTTAGGTTAGGTTAGGTTAGGTTAGCAATAAGTTAAGTTAGGTTAGGGTAGCATCATTTTAGGTAAGTAAGCATTAAGGTGTTTAATATTATGGTGTTAATCTTCACTTGATCTGAATTTAACAAACATTACTTAATTTAACTTGTCTTTTAATTAAGGAACCGCACCATCGAGCCAAGCGAACGACCTGTATGAGGAAGGTAACGTGTCACCCACTCAAGATATTAACGAGCTGATGGGCCTGTGTACGGGAAGGTTTGGTGGTGAGCCCAGAGAGGTGGAGAAGAAAGCTGGGGTGATGTCGCGTCTTGTAACATCCAGCAGTAACTTGGACTATGGTCACCACACTGATGATGATGAGTTACTGAACCTCTGCACTGCAAAGTTTACCACGTAAGGCTGTTGTTGGTATTACTTAGTGTGTGTCACTGTTGTTGGATGTGTCCCTTAATTAATAGTAGTTAACATCGAGTGTGATCAAGGGAAAACTTGGCGAGCTTGTAGTTATGTCCCCTCGTGTTGGTGGTGCGTGACATCACAGAGAAATGGCCTCGGTTCACGTTTTCCATTCCTTTCAGTATTTTGAATGTTTCAATGAGATCTGCCCTATTGTGTCTTGTCTGAAGGGTTGTTAGTCCTAAGACCCTCAGTCTACTTGGATAATTGAGATGACATAGTTCAGGAATTATCTTAGTCACTCTGTGTTGTACCTTTTCTAGGGTTGTTAGATCTTTATGGAGGTTGGGCTTCCATGCATGTATTCAGTAATCTAAGCTGGGACCTACACACAAAACACTGATGCCTGAATGTTAGTTTAGTCACCATAACTTCGTCCTTTACAGACAAACATCTCAAGAAAATTCATCAAGTGCAGCGGCTGATATGGAGAAGCCTGGAAATCAACTGGAAGATGTAGAGTCCAGACCAGTACCTGATATGATTGTGTATTCATCGGATGAGGAAAATGACATGCATAGGCAAGCCAAACTGAAGATTAGGAAGAAGAGGAGGAGGATTATGCAGTTTTCTGGTGAGTGGAGCATGTCTTATAGTGATGTAGCATCACCGTTGTCTTGTAGTGATGCAGCCAAGACCCAGACCTACATCGCTGTTTTGTAGTGATATATAAACAGACGAACGTACATGCACAAACCTAACCCAACCCTACCCAACCCTACCCTACCCTACCCTACCCTACCCTACCCTACCCTACCCTACCCTACCCTACCCTACCCTACCCTGCTCAACCCTGCCCTACCCCAGACAACAGACGCTGCACAAGTGGAACTCTACGGAGACAAGAAAAGACACTTAATAGCTGTTTGTGAAGTAAGTACAGGCTGTCCACTAGTTACGGACACCGACACTTACGAATGGGATCACAATAATCTCTAACTAACTTTCCATTTTTTACATTAATTTCAATGTTCTTTATGATTTAACATCACTTTATTTACATTATTTGTTAGGTATGGGATATTAACGTTGTTTTGTATGGGCAAGGATGTGCGTCAACCAAATCTAACCTGTGGAATTAACACTGTTCCGACTTGCGAACAGGATCCAGGAACGGAACCCATACGTAACTCGGGGACTGTCTTTCATAAAACTGGGGTGTTCTGTCTGTACTATATGTGAGGTTATCTACAAGACTTAACCGAGAAACTCTTTATTGGCAGATGATGAAGACGCTCAGGATGCCATTGAGTACGATGACGAGGAAAATGAAATACGCAGAACAACTTTCAGCGGATTTAAAGACAAGATGAAAGGGTAAGATGAATATTTTTGTCTTTAATTTTTACCATAATAAGATAATAAATGGATGGATGGAGATAGGTATAACTTCAGACCTCTTGACTTCAATACACAATACGGACAATAATGATGACTACCGTAAACCCTCCCAATACTGGAGTAATTCTTGCAAGCCTTGTCTGATATTGGGAGGATTATGTTAATGAGAATATCCAGTAATGAGAAGTGTGTTATTGAGAGGATTTACTGTATCCATTACCTTATTGAGAAGTGTGTCAATGAGAGAGTTTACTGTACCTGTATCTTCATGTATTTACAGATAATTAATGACTGTATCTTTATATATCGACCGAATATTGATGACTGTATCCTCTCTCATTTTATAACAGTGGTATACGAGCAGATTTCTTGGAGAACGAGGCAGAACTTTCAGGGTCTGACTTGAACTCAGATGATGAGGAAGATGGTGAGGATGTGATGGAGATGGAGGAAGGAGACTACGAACACTTTGATGAAAATGATCTGAGGAACCAGGTTAGTGGCGCATCTACTGCTGTTATACTGTACAGGACCTCAAGGTGATCAGTTGGGTTGAGTGAGGTTTGTTATTGGGTCACTTAACTCTCAGCCGGTGTAGGTATTCCCTATTCTGCCCAGATGTGCACATAAATGGAACGCAAGGAACATGAAGCGTTTACTGGCGATGGCTGTGGTCAATATGGCTAACTTCGACTGATGATGGCCACCGTCCCTACAGCTAACATCCACTGATGATGGCCACCGTCCCTACAGCTAACATCCACTGATGATTGCTGTATAAGGGCTAAATGCCAGCCATCATCTGTAGAAGTTTCATATTTCCTGCATTCTATTTTACTTCATATAGAGGGAGGGAAACGAACCCTTAGCTGCCGGCTAAAGATTCAGGAATACAGTATAATAAATAAAATTGTCTCTTGGGAAGGATTATCAGCTCTGTACTTTAGTTATGATATTCTATTATTTGTGTCCAACTTTAGGGTTTCTCATTGTCATATATGAGGCAGTCTGGGCGAGGACAAGACAATATACAAACTGGCATGAGGCGTCTGTTATATTTGAAGACGGAAATTTGGAAATCACGACCGATATAATAAACAAAACATCTTGAACCATTTTGTCACTTATTTTTCTTTCCCCGGAGCGTCTTGTATCCCTATGACATCTCATTCACGTTACTGGTAGTTCAAATAGGGACCTTCAGTTACACATTACTTAGAATTATTTTATTTTGGCATTAAACCCGCAACATTTTGGGTATTTATTCTCCTTTGACTTTTATATCATTTTAATTTCTGTAATTTTTGTGTGTGTGGTTATCTCATATAGTTAACAGATAAAAATATTTGTTTGTAATGTTTGCTGACGGAGATCCCTTATGGTCTGGGCCCCAGTTGTAAGAGTTACGTTGTTGTTGTTTGTCGTAAGTGACCATCTACCATGTGTCTGCAGGTTGGGAGAGCTCACTTAAAGAACGTACTCGACTCCGACAAGCGAGAGTTGAGGCTTCTTCAGGAAATGTACCTGGAGGATGGAGAGCTACATGGGGAAGGCAGGCAGAGGCAGTTCAGGTGAGAGTATTAACCTTAAGTCAGTTCAGGTGAGAAAATTACAAAATCAAATAGAGAGAGAAATAAAAAGAGAGAAAGAGAGAGTATTAAATTTCCTATGGGATATAACTTGCCAGACATCCAGTACACTCACACCAATAGGTACCTTTACGGAGAGGTTTCTATGAATTTAAAAAAAATGAATGCTGCAACTCCTGTTGTCTCGGTGGGGTTGAGTCAAATCCTTCGTTCTATATCATACTGTCAAACACAAAATCATAAAGATACTTTTTGGGAGAGTGTACATGTATAGGCTCTCATGTGAGGTAGGGTTGGTTATAAAGGATGTTAAGTCACATTATATTGACATGGAAATATGAAGCTGGTGGTTAATTTTTTGTTCTAAATCACAGGTGGAAGAATATGGGTGATGATGAGGAAGGTAACGAGAGGAAGGCGATGTCTGATGAAGAAGGAGTTGAGGAAGAAGGCGAAGACGTTGATTGGAGAAAACAGAGAATTGAGAGAGAGAAGTTCTTAAAGGAACAAAAAACAAAGGTTGGTAATTGTCCTGAACACCAACAGTACCCATGATATACAGTGACCGCATTGTAATGAAACAACTTTGAAGCCTTGTAAATTTTTATTGATTAATGTAAACAGGAATATTCACACAAATCATAGTCACTAATCATGAGTTTCATTGAGGTATGGGGTTACATATCATTAGGGTATGTTAGGGCACCATTTATAGGACATACTAAATCAGCAATAGTCATTTTCCCTCCACGTTTCCTAACATCTCTGCCACCGCCTCTGTGATGTGTTCTTTCAGCTCAACAATATCCTGTACCTTTGAATTTCACATAATACCGACGGTTATGTGGTGGAGGGTGGGTATGGATGCCAGTCTTTCTGTCCACACATGTGTTCCTTCAGCTCAACAATATCCTGTACCTTTGTACCGACACACACTAAATTCCATCATGTACAGGGTGTCTCATAGGTCACATGTACACATATACAGGGTGTCTCATACACACACATACAGGGTGTCTCATAGGTCACACACATGTACAGGGTGTCTCATAGGTCACACACATGTCATAGGTCACAAAATACACAGGGTGAAGATATTGAAACACATCCCTAATAATGTTGTTTTATTACCAGGTGGAAGATAATGAGGCACAGGTCTTCAAGCTTGGCCGCCGTTCCATAGTCAGAAGCACATCCCTAATAGTGGACCCTGCTAGCAAGAGGGAGCCACTACAGGAGGTAAATCGCCCACCGGCCAAAATCCCCCAAATTACCAAAAATCTCCCTCCTCTGCTGCCCAAGGTGAGCGTTAGGGTAAAGGTGTTATGGATACGAGACAGTCCAGGTGGTAACGAGATTGTATTAATTACTCTATATTGTCAATTTGATCATAAAATATTACTATTATATTTTTGGTACTGTAGTCAATTATAATTACTCAGTTATTAAAAAAAAATTGTACAGTGACACTTCAATTTAACGGACTGTATAGGTAGAGGAAATTGCACTATATTGAGGTGTATATTACAGTGAAACCTCCATCTAATGAACTATGAGTTTATAGATATGAAAGTCCATTATATCAAGGGTCCGTTGGAAGTGAATACCGCCAACTAACGGATAATATGGAGAGAAGTCCGTTACAAGGACGTTTTACTGTAGGTAATTATAATGAGTTAAGATACAAGTTACAGTTATTCTCCATGACTGCTGTGTACACTAACACCTGGAGGAGGACATAGGCTTATATTTATTACTGTCTTCTTCTTCCTCAGCGTGGCTCTTTCTTGGCCCGGGACAAGGTCACTTTAGCCCGTATCGCCGAACTGACCAAAGCTCGAGGGGCCGTCGTCGGCGGAGCCAAACAAGCCGGCAACTTTGTCTTCCAGCAACTGTCGGCCGAGGAGGTGCAGAAGAAGGTGGAGTCTACCAAAGTGATGAAGGCCCACGGCTTGCCCGCCTCCAAGAGACCGAGAGTCGACCGTAGCTTCTCTAGTATGGACATCACCAGTCAGTCGTCGAGTATATTTAAGTACTTATAATAATTACTTTGTACAGTTAGTAGGTAGAGGTAGTGTAGAGATTTATTGTAGTAGGTAGAAGAGTTTACTGACAAGACACAAAGACTATGGAAGGGTGGAATAGTGTGAGAACCCAGTTACTTCAACACCTCCCTTATCTTGTTAGTAATATTTATGAGGTACAAATATATATGTGTGGTGCTGGGAGCATTGTGAAGTAGCAGCCACAGTGATAACAAACTATATTTATTGGAAACAATATATTTATTAAATGCTGGACAGATTTTGTGGTAAGCATGACTACACGGTGCGGGTAATCAGCTGTTTGTGCTATGTAAACAGATCAGCTGGGAATTTAATGTTGCAATAACTCATCTAGGGTTGAGTGTGGCAACATGCCATCTCACAAGCCACCTCATCCCTGTTTTTTTCCACTTCCCAGTGAGTCAAGCTTCCGTTGAACCGAATTTTGACCTAAGGTTAATTATTGCCTGTTCTTGTAGGCACGTCCAATTATCCGAACCATTCATTAGTCCCAAGGAGTTCAGGTAAAAGGAATTGCACTGTATGGGGGATGTGCGGCAGTATAGCAGATATTTTCCTCATACGTGCGGGGGCTTTTTACGTATAGTTCAGCAATAATTTGGCCTGGTAAATGCGGACCTCTGTATATATGTAATTTATGGTATTTAGCTGGAGATTTGATTGAATTGAAAAAGGGAGAAAAATGTAACCTTTTGTCCTTGTTTAAACCTTTTGTTCCTTTCAAGACAGTGTTCATGGAGTCTTAATTATTACTGAATTGTGTGTAAGAGGATTATCCGTGAGAGTCAGACAACCACAACATTTATTTGTAAACATCAGCTTTAGTGAACAACAAGAGAAGCCACTGAAGAAGGTTAAGAGGATTTAGGGTCCTGCGGCCTCCCTGACACAGTGTTGGGGACGTCATCATCACTTGTGTAGCTCGGCCATCACTACCTGATGGTGTGGTGTTCGGGCTGCTCCTCCATGTTGGACTTTCAACTTCATGAGGTAAACCAACGTTACCTAACACAATTTTGAGCACAGTGCATGGCTGTCTGACTGCCACTGGTTCAAATCCTGGAACTCAGGTGAAAATTGTTTACCGACGTTCCTCGGATAATTTTTAGTTTTTCAGCCAATGAAACGTTTGATTTAATAAAATTACTTTTTTACAAAATTGATTTACTACCTTGATATCTATTGTTGCTTCTACAGTTGTGGAAATGTGTTCCCACACCCCCTGTGGTAACCTGTCTCCCCAAAAGGCAGCGTCGCAGCAGTAGTGTCACTGAATGAATGTCAATTGGTCGTGTAACAACGGACATGATTGGTTAGGTTTGCTATAGGTCATGTAGGTTGGCCATTTGGAGACATGGGTTACCACAGGGTGTAGGAACACACTTCCACAACTACCATTGTTACCTGCAGGAACATGGAGTCTCTTACAAGGGGGTACTGTACATTGTCTGAGATCACATACAAGGACAGATCTGGGACATAAGAGCATTGTTAGGTTTGACATAGATAGAGAAGACATATAGATAAGATATTAATGACCAAAAATTGCAAATTACATAGATACAAACATGTAAGACTAAATATGATTCAATCTTGTTCTGCATCACAACTCTGCCAGCTACCAGGTGTAAGAAAACATCACAACTTGATGGAGAAGAAGAGTTTTAGTGTTGTGTGGTGGAATACAATCAGGGGTCCAAAGTTCACTTCCTCCCAAACTAAAGCAGTATTGACCCCAAATGAGATAAAGCAACACACACTGGCACCAGGTGACAGTCAGTGTAAGTAAGTTTGTTTAAAGACTCATTCCCATTGCTCAGTTTTACTGCCGGGAGCGAACTTTTGTCCGTGACTTTACGTACCTCAAGTGATTCACTCCCACAAACACCAAAGGTTTTAGAAAACTCGCTTTTAACTGGGTCTAGGTAATGCACATCCCAGTTTTGGTCGATAGATTGGTTTTTATTTGGTAAAATCGTCGTACAAGTTTAGGATTGGTTTATCATGCACAGTATATAGACAATACAGGGTTGTGTGTGTGTGTGTCTGTACATCTACTTTATAATGAAATTGTGAAGGAAGTGTTACTATACGAGTATGAATGACTTTATCCTTTTACATCTACTACACTGTTACAGTGACCAGGTCAGTTCAGTAAAGCACTCGCCTCCTGTTTTGATACCATTTAGTGTTAGCCTTTTCTTGGTATTATTTGATCTATAGGGTGGCTATAAATTATCTGATTTATTTTATAACCTTGTAACCTCAAAGTAAATTGGTTCACCATCAAGTGATGTGAAAGTTCAAAAAATAAATGCTAATTTTTCTCAGGTTGAAAATTGTACAGTCCATGTGTACTTGTATTTACTAAAATGTAAGGAGAACAGTCATACAGTACTACTGTGTAACACTGCATGCAGCCATGAACACACACAGGAGGAGGATGACTCAGTGGTTACAGGTGTTCCACCTTGCTCGATCACTCCCTGTGAGCTTAGTGCAACTCACACAGCTCCCACATTGTAGCTTTTGTCTCTGGCTACCTCACGAGGCAGCATCAACTTCCATTCTCTCTGATAATGGTACACAACAGATTTCAACTGAGGCTGTGCCCGGTCACTCAGGGTGGTTTGTGTCGCATCAGAGCGTATACACATTGTTCTATTGCATAGCATGTCTAAGGATTTACATTTATTTCTTAATGTTAATCTTTATAATATAATTAGTGTCTGAACTGTCATTGGTTCAGTAAAACAATCACTATATGAACAGATTGACAATCAATTATACAGAAGTTATGACCAGACCCATTAATTGTTATAGTGAAGTAGAGGTGTAAGCCCAAAACACCTCACTCTGGTGTTCATATGATGATGTTAAAGCCATTTTTAATCGACATGGTGGCATCACAGATTTATATATGCCTCATATTAAACATGGAGATTGGCACTGCAGTGTGACCAAAATCAGGTACAGAGATTCACCTCAGGAATAATGGAAGAATGGTGTGTGACCAGCGGCTGAAAGTTACTGTTCGGCGTCAGTGCGAAAAGGAGTATGTCCCTCTTCATCACCCTTATGAGAGTGGCCAGCCTCACCAAAGGTCTCATCTGGCACCTTTACACTGGGAGGGTGTTGGGAACAGTTGTCTTACCCCTCAGAAACAATGTATTCCACAGTAAACTGATGACAAGTTGTGCAGTGAGGTGAAGAAGGCTCACCTTCTCCCTCATAAACTTCATCGTCCACAGGAAACTGTAGAAGAGTCCAGCAGTGAGGAGGAGTGAGGAGTTTATATTATTTTATTTTAAGTTGTTATTGTTATTTTGTATATCGATAAAGAATAGAACTTTAATAGTGTCACTCATTATCCTGTGTACCTGAGAGCAAGGCAGCTGTACCATACCATCTTGAAGGCTTACCTATACTTACTTTAAACGACAAACTCGGAACAAATTCAAACAGAGAAAATCCCAAAAGTAAATCTACCCGGTCATCAGGCAAATTAGGCAATGTTTCCATGTTAAAGTGTCCATGCACACTGCTAAGTTAATCCTGTACTGCAACCAACATTAAAGGACACAAACTTGAGCCTGTGATTCGGCTGTCCAAAAAAAAATTAGTTGATCCCGTCTGTGGTCTTCAACTCCTACTTGTGGTGAATACAGGCACAGGTTCCTCTGATGCGAGTTACTGAAATTAATAAAATTGTGCAGCGAACAGTGGCTGGTGCACCCATACTCATCCTGTGAGCTGTAGCACAAAAAGGATTATACAGAGTCGAGGTCACAAAGAGTCTATAGATCCCAGTGATCAGGATGTTGTGGCTTTTACTGTCACTGAGTATTTCCAGTACACTGTTTGTTTAGTTCTGTACATACCATAGTTTGCTTTGCTGCTATAATACTGTAGAGTCGAAATAGAGATACAGCTTTAGTATATCAGCTGTGTTGCCATCAGAGATAAGGTGGTGTGTATTGTAATGCTTGAATCTGTTCCTGAAAGGTTCTATATTGTCACAGTCTAAGATGTAGTGTTAGAGTGTGTGGCCATATGTGAGATGCAATCCACTGCATTGTGTCTGGCTTCAGAGGCAATGGGCCGACATCTCTGAGTTAGGGTTTCAAGAGCAAGTAGTGAGGATTAGGAGTCAGTGGTGATGAGACTCGGTAGTACTGTAGTGTCTTCAACAAGTTTCTGGGCTGTCAGTATGGCAGGTAGCCCAGTTTATAGAGTGGATGCCCAGTTATCATTCTAGCTCCTTTCTCTGTTACATTACCATCAGGGTGATTCACAATGACATCACTTCCAGCTCTCCCCATGACAGTGTTAAGAGAGCCGTCTGTGTTACTTTTACTTTTATCCTCTTCGCCACTGATCGGCTTGTTAGCCGCTTGGGCGATCGGTCACGTCTCTTTTCCTTTATATTCTTCACCAAAAGGTCGGCTCGCTAGCCGCCCGGGCGATCGGTCACGTCTCTGTCACGCACTGTTGGCAAATACTGGGCATGCACCGGCTCCTGAATGTACCTGAACCCGCTCCAGTGTTGGTCAAGTCTTCTCTTGAAAGAGCTCACACTCGGTGCCGTCACAACACTCTCTGGTAGATTGTTCCAAGAGTTTACAACCCTCACTCCGAAAAAGTTTGCCCTCACGGTTTTCTGGACTTGCGGCTTCTTCAATCTTGAGCTGTGACCCCTTGTGGGGCGAGCGTCCGCCAGCTCCAAGTAAGGACACTCAACTGAGTAGTGCCCCCTGAGATGCTTATAAACCTCAACTAGGTCCCCCCTTGCCCGTCTGTAGTATAAGCTAGGCAAGTTCAGGCGCTCCAATCTCTCAGGGTAGCTGAGGTGCCGAAGTGCAGGCACCAGTTTGGTGGCCCTCCTTTGAACATTTTCAACCAACTGACAGTCCCTAGCATATCTCGGGGACCAGATGGGGTGACAGTACTCCAGATGGGGAAGCACTTCACTCCTGAAGATCGTCACGAGGGACGGACCGTCTAGATATCTGAACGACCTTCTTATAAGACCCAATAATTTATTTGCCTGATTTACCTTCTTCTCACAATGGCCCGAGAACTTCAGCTCATTGTCAACATACACACCTAGGTCCTTCTCACACACAGTCTCAACTAGTACATTTTCTTCATCCCGTTGGGACATATGGTACGCCTCCTTACCGTTGGTACGCCCCAGGTGCATCCTCTTACACTTCGTGACATTGAATCTCAGCAGCCATTCCTTCGACCATTCCTGGAGCCCACAGAGGTCCTTCTGCAGCTCTTCACAGTCCGCTTGGTTCTTAATTTCCCGAAATAACTTGGCGTCATCGGCAAACATTTGTATGGAGGAGTGTACAACGTCAGGCATATCATTTATGAAACAAACAAACAACAGCGGGCCCAATACACTACCCTGCGGTACCCCACTTGTTACAGGTACAGATGACGATTTCGTGCCATTAATCACCACACATTGCTTGCGGTCATGTAGAAAGTCTTCTATCCACGCTAGGACATTTCCCCGAATTCCGTACCCTTCCAGTTTGATTTTCAGCCTTTCGTGGGGTACACTGTCGAAAGCCTTGGCAAAATCTAGGTAAATATTGTCGATATTACCACCCCGTTCTAGAATATGGGTCCAAATATCCAATACCTTGAGCAATTGTGTCAAGCAAGAGCGCCCCGGCATAAAACCGTGTTGGCAATCTTTTACAAGGTTGTTTCGTAGTAGATGTTCCATCGCTGCATCTCTGATAATACTCTCAAGTACTTTACATATTATGCTGGTCAGGCTCACCGGTCTATAGTTGTTCGTGGAGTGCCTATCGCCCTTCTTGAAGATAGGACTCACATAAGCCACTTTCCATTCACTGGGGACCATTTGTTCATCCAGGCATTTACAAAACAGAATCTTCAGGGGCTCTGCAAGCTCGTTGCACAGCTCCCTTAGCACTCTAGGATGCACCATGTCAGGTCCAGGACTCTTATGGACCTTTAGCCTGGACAGTTTATTTCTAATACCCTCTTCTGTGAACACAATGTGGGTCAGTGCTGTGTCGAACCGTCTGTCCTCAAACGCAGGAAGGTTAGTTGCATCCTCTCTTGTGAACACTGAGGAAAAGAAGCTGTTCAATGCCTCAGCTTTATCCTGGTCAGAATCTGCGTAACTACCATCTTCAAGCCTCAGGTCTGATACTCCTACTCGCGTTTTCAATTTCGACTTTGCATAGCGGTAAAACGCCTTTGGGTTTGACTTGACCTCGCGTGCAACCAGCCTTTGGAACTCCTTTTCAGCCCTCCTACACTCTATCTTTGCTTGGTTTCTGGCTCTTGCATACATCCTCCTGTCTTGCTCATCGTTTGACCCAACCCACGTCTTGAATTTCTGGGTTTTCTTCTTAATTTTGTCGACCGCCGCATGGTTCATGTGTAGGGATCCCCTCGTATTCCTAGAAGCACTGGGTTTGGTCTTGGGTATATATTTATCGATCAAATGGGTCATTTTACTAGTTATGATATTCAGCGTAGTGTCTGCGTTCTTGTACCTAAATAAGTCAGGCCAGTTGATACCCCTCATCTCTTCCCTCATCCCATTGTAATTTCCCTTGTAATATTTGCACCTTGGCCTGGCCTTATCTTGAACTAGGTAACAGTTAAATCTGGTGGTCTGTGTGATGTTACTTTCAATCTGTAAATTATATACTGTATGTTTATTTTTATGACCCACAATGGGGCCTGGGGGGCGAAAGGTAAGACAAATGAAATTAAAAAATAGAAGAGAAAAGGACTATTAATCTGCACCACGAAGATGCTGGAAAACCAGCTTTTTGAAGTGAGACATTGTAAGAGTATGGAAACAGAAGGCAGAGCATTTCACAGTTTGGCTGTGTTCAAGAGCTCTCACTTTGGTAGTGTGTTGGAAATAATGAGTGTGTATGTCTGTGTAGATGTACTGCAGTGCTGAATGTGTGTATGAGGGTGTGAGGGTCCAGGAGTGTGTGTGAGAAAGGGCCCGGATGTGTTTGTGTGAGGGCCCGGGTGTGTTTGTATGAGGGCCCGGGAGTATATGCGTGAGAGAGTTGGGGAGTGTGTGTGAGAGAGAGAGAGGAGGGGAGTGTGTGTGTGTGTGAGGCTCTGGGAGAGAGCGTGTGTGTGTGATCAATGAGCTGTGGATGGCAGGGAACAAGTCTCTCCCTCCCTCTCTTCCACCGCCTTCACCCTCGGCCCCTGTAGGCACCCTCTCACCCTCCCACCCCTACTCACCCCCCTTCCTCCCTCCCCTAGTCACCCCACCCTCCCTCCAGCCTCCATTATCACGAGGTCCTCCACACTCCACAGTAGTACTGTAGTGGTGGTGCTATACTGTACAGTAGTTGTTTGTGGCTCACTGTGGCAGCTTCTAGACCTGTGTGGCTGTGGCCCTGTTCCAAAGAGGTGGACTCAAGGTGCTATGTGGCCCCAATATGTGCTGAATTAACAACCTAATATTGACCCATGATAATAGCTTACAACCATAGAAAGAAGAACAAAGACCAAACTATAGGAAAAGAACGCCATATTACGTTTGTTTTATGATTATTTTGACGATATAAACTTAGTGAAAAATAGAACAACCTTGACATTTACATCCAGTTAAAACACTATTAAACATTCTTCCATTCTCCTTAATTACTGTCATTAAGATAATTATAACCAGTAATTTGTAAAAGGATTAAATATGAAGAATAGTAAAGGATAAAGATATTCTGGTATTAAAGAAGACGGATCCACTGTGTGTGTGTTGTCATCAGTCACTTATTTTACTGAAATATTTAGTGAATAGTTACTTATTAATGGTTAAGAAGACACCATTATTTTAATTATTTCTTGGACTCTGTGATGGCGTTGAGGTGAATAATAATATAGATGGTAATGAAGTATTTTTGTTTTGTATTTTGTGGTTCATCTGAATATTTGCCCCACCCCCAATAGCTTATTTCACCTGAGGATTAATTATTTTAATATTACCTGGGGGTTAAATTGAGTTAGATTAAGTTAATATTAGTTTAGCATATGATGGTTAATTCTAAGGTGATATAAGCTAAGGTGTTTGTAGTAATCTTCAGGTGATTAAATGACAGATACCTGGATTTTTTTTAGATCCAATACTTAGTTATAATAAAGAGGCATAAATCATTCTAATATAGGTTAAGTTTAGGTTGTTAGGTTAGCTTGAAATTATGGTTTTCCAATGGTTTTTTATGTGTTTTGAACAATATTTTCAAAATGTAAATAGGAAAAAAAAGGTACCAAGAAATTATTTGGATGCCATACAAACCACCCATATCAAGCATGATTAATTTAGTTTCTATTTATACTCCAAAACATTTATAATATATCCCCAAAAATACAAAAATAGAGATAAAATAGATGGTTATGTGGTGAAGAGGTTAGGTTAGGTTCCTGGGGTTCTGATAGGTTAGGTTGGTTAGATTAAGTTTAGTTCAGGTTACATTAGATAAGGTTAGGTTAGATTAGATTAGTTCAGATTTGGTTAGGTTAGTTCAGGTTTGGTTAGGTTAGTTTAGGTTTGGTTAGGTTAGGTTATATTAGATTAGTTCAGATTTGGTTAGGTTAGTTCAGGTTTGGTTAGGTTAGTTTAGGTTCGGTTTGGTTAGTTCAGGTTAGGTTAAATTATTTTAGGTTAGGTTGGTTAAACTTTGTGTTGAGCAAGCCATAACAATACTTACAATGGCTTAGTCTAAATACATATCGTTCGTTCTCCAAAAATCCTTACGGCAACTTTGGAAATTTTTTCCTCGGGATCTTGATAAATCCGTTGGTGGTGACACGAACCATCCAAGTATATATAGGAGTGTAATGGTGACCTCTGTGTTTTAATTGTGTGTGTTTTTTTGTAATTCTAAATGTTTGTAAATGTTAATAGGAAAAAGCAAACGACATTACATTTGCTTGTCATCCTTGGTCAGATTGCCTCATTGCTTACCATTGTTTGTATACGTGCACTGTCTATGTCCTGTTTATTGAACTGTATAACTGTGTTGTCACTATGTTGAACTGTATACTGTGCCTGTCTATATACATGTTGAACTGTATACTGTACCTACACTGCTGAAGGATCTACTGTATATGATACAGTGTTAGAATGTTGAAGGAACTTTATGGTACAGTGTTAGAATGTTGAAGAAACTTTATGGTGCAGTGTTAGAATGTTGAAGGAACTTTATGGTACAGTGTTAGAATGTTGAAGGAACTTTATGGTACAGTGTTAGAATGTTGAAGAAACTTTATGGTACAGTGTTAGAATGTTGAAGGAACTTTATGGTACAGTGTTAGAATGTTGAAGAAACTTTATGGTACAGTGTTAGAATGTTGAAGGAACTTTATGGTACAGTGTTAGAATGTTGAAGGAACTTTATGGTACAGTGTTAGAATGTTGAAGGAACCTTATGGTACAGTGTTAGAATGTTGAAGGAACTTTATGGTACAGTGTTAGAATGTTGAAGAAACTTTATGGTACAGTGTTAGAATGTTGAAGAAACTTTATGGTACAGTGTTAGAATGTTGAAGAAATCGGTAATATTGTACGACATTTATCGGGTATATTATACATATCTTGAATTATTTAGTGCCGGTATATGCATGTTCAGTTATACTAAAGACAATATGTTTTTCTCGCAGGTGATATATTGGAAAAAATAACCCAAATTTCCCACCCCTAGTGGTCAAGAAGGTCGTTTTAACTTAACCATGATTTGGTCCTAAATTAACGAGGTGATGACGGCCACCACAGCTACAGGTTCAGTAGGGGAGAAAGACATGACAGGATGCCATTTGGATGTTTGTTTAGGAAAGATAAGTCTACCACCATGAGTGACAAAGAGAAGAAGGGCAAGCTGGGCCTCAAGGTGGTGATGACCCAGCAGAACCCGGAGCCCGTGTACGACCTCACCGACTGCGCCATGGTAGAACTTCCTCCAGACACTTTTGTTATGTGTAAGTTGTTGCAGAAGACGGTCTTACTGTTGCAAGATAATTCTCTGACGTCGCTGGAGAAAGGAGGGAAGCTGCACGAGCTAGAGGCATTACAGGTCTTAGATCTGTCGAATAATAAGTTTGCTCATCTTCCAGATTCTATCAATAAACTTAAGAACTTGACAATAATGAAACTTAGCAACAACAAACTGAAGAGTCTGCCTTTATCTATAAGTGAACTGTCAAAATTACAAGAACTTTATCTGTCCTCAAATAAATTTTCCAAAGTGCCTGTAAGCATCTGTGCCTTGCCCAGCCTGCGAGTGTTGTCTCTCACTGGCAACAACATCTCTCTACTGCCAAAGGAATTTTGTAAGTTACAAAAAAGTCTTCATCAACTAGAAATTGACACAGATAAGCTTCAGTCCCCTCCTCCTGCAGTAGTGGCAGAAGGTACGGAGGCAGTGATGCGCCACCTGTGTGAGGAACACGGACTCATATACGAGGGCATCAGCGAGCCGCAGGAGGAGGCTCTGGCAGACTGTGCCTCTCCTCACGCATACTCCAAAATGGAGCCGTCTGCTGATGACAAGGCATTACTGAGCTACTGGTGTAGAAAAGACGAGAAGGTTAAAGCCCAGTTGGCGGCGGAGGAAGAATTTCAAGCCAAGGAACAGCAGCAGTTGGCGTCCATGTTGCAGGACATGAGTAGTAACAAACAACATCTCTTAGAGGGAATCTTCCAGATTCCATCAGAGGCCATGGAGTATGAGAGGAAGAAGCTGGCCATGATGCAGGAACAGTACAACATTGAAGAAAACATGCGGGCTGAACAAGCAGAACAGCTGGAGATATATTTGGCATCCTCAAATGACAAAGAATCTTTAATCAGTGACCTAACAACTCGACAAGCTAACCTGGACCTGGAGGTGGAGGGTCTGGTCACCGCCAGAGAAAAAGAACGACAGCATTTACTAAAGGACCTGGCGACCACCGAGCGGGAGACCGACGCCGCCGTTCAGGAGCTGGTCGATGCAGCCGCGGCGAGGAGGGGCGAGGAGTTCCTCTCACTGCTTCAAGATCAGGAGAAAGAACTGCAGTCTCTCCTGTCCGGTATTGTGGAGGCGGCCACCGAGTTACGTCAGTCTGAGGTCGTCGCCGCCATGAAGGCAGTGCTGGTGGAGGAGGCGGCCGCCGAGCAGCAGCGGATGGCGGTGCAGGAGGAGCAGGGGGCACGGGTGTGTGCCCTTCTGGAGGAGGCAGACTTGGTCAACTCTCATCTCAAGGGAGTATTAACTGCACGCTTGGCCGACCAGGAGGAGTGGGTCTCGACTCTACTTGAGGATGAAGCATGCCAAGCGGCTGCTTTTAGAATCCTACTGCTCAAGTGTGACCTTAAGAGGAACAACATTCTGAGACAGGTGAGGACCCAAACTTTGTTGGTGTTTTGGCTTACAATATTAACATTTTCTTAAGCAGTGAATACATTCATTGTTGATACTGTTCCGTAGTTAAACTGTCCATCATGGTAATGTGTGTAAGATGAACCAAACCTAACCTAACCAAACTTAGCCTAACCATCAGTACTGGCCCACCTTAATAGTTAGGTCAGGGCTTATTCACCCAATCACTCTTACCATACATAAATACTGTATATTAACACAACAATGGATATTCTTAATGTTTAGATACAATGGCTAATAATATCATTGACTCTGATCCATCCAGTCTCAAAATAAATAGTCTGTGTGCTTGTTTGTGGTGAACATTAGAGAGTAAAGTGTGTTGTACAGTACACGTGCACGGAGGAATGACAGGAATGAAGAAGAGAGAAAGAGAAGTTGTAGGAAGACCTATGTAACTGTATTGTAGTGTGAGAGATAGAGCGGGTGTTTAGTATGAGAGATAGAGCGGGTGTTTAGTGTGAGAGATAGAGCGGGTGTTTAGTGTGAGAGATAGAGCGGGTGTTTAGTGTGAGAGATAGAGCGGGTGTTTAGTGTGAGAGATAGAGCGGGTGTTTAGTGTGAGAGATAGAGCGGGTGTTTAGTGTGAGAGACAGAGTGACTGTTGACAGGAGATGCACTAGTTTGTGAGAGAGAAGTAGAGGAGGGAATTAATATAAATAGAAAGAGATAATTATGATGATTGTTTATCTAATATTTTTACTCTTTCAGATTGGCCAGATTGAATTTGAACTGGCCCGCCTGTCGTCGCTGGAGGTGAGAAAGAAGAAACACGGCATTAAGTACGGGTCGACCACTATGCTGGAGCAGCGGGCCACCCTAGTCGGTTTACTGAAGTCCCTGCTGATGGAGAAGAGTCAACGGGAGGAGCAGCTTAATGCCTGGTTGGCTCAGCTCCAGGACTCCCGAACGCCTGACATAGCCGAGGAAGAGTTTTGGCTGGTACAATACCAACGTCTCCTGACCATGAAACCCGCCGGATTGGCCGAGGCCGAAGAACAACTGGAGCCTCAAGTACGAGAGGTCCTCAAGGCCGCCAATGCTCTCGACTTGACGCCGGTGTTCGCCCACAACTCTATCACCTTCTCTCGTCTGATGAACATGACGGAGGAAGAAGCGGCGGTGATGGACATCGGACCGGCAACCTACCGTAGCTTACAGCGAGCCCTACAGAACCATCTGGCCGCCTCCAAGTTGGGAGAACAGATGCCCTCCGCCCCATGTGAGGAGGACCTGCCATACTCCCCGTCCGCTCCTCCTGCGCTCTCTGGCAGTGAAGTATTACCCACTGCCCCAATTTTAGAAGGCGGGGAAGAGGGGGCGTCGGCACCTCCGCTAGACAAACAGTTTGTGGAGGCCGAGTGTGTGGTGTGTCTGAATGCCAGCTGTCAGGTTATATTTTTACCATGCGGTCACGTGTGTGCTTGTGGTAAGTGCTGCACTTCGCTCCTCATATGTCCCATGTGCAGAGCTCCGGTCATCAGTAAATTATTACTTACTTACTGATTCTGCTCATTATCTTCTGGATTTATTCATTATTAAATATCATAAATAGATAATTGTAGTCAGATCACCTGAAAATTTATCCCCACATTGTTTCACTTATAAATTAACGACCCTTATGAAATACTACAAACCAAACCTAACCACCCTAATTCAATCCTACCCCAACCACCCTAATGCTAACCCTACCCGACCCTACCCCACCGTGTAGTTTTGGGATGGTTAAACACGAGGTGAAATAAGCTGGTTTGAGTGATGTTGAGGTGATCGCTGTAGTCAACTAAGACATCTTCACCGAATGATCAATTACAATCTGAGTTGTCTTTTAAGATTGTTTGATGCATTATATTACTCGTGCAGTTGAATTCTTGATCATATTTTTTATTCCTTTATGCATAAATTTAGTGAAGCAGCTAAAACAGATGGTTACTAAAGTCTTATGTTGATTTATAACCTGTGATAAATTTTAATTGTTCATTTAAAGCTCAAGTCTTGGTTTGTTCATGTTTTACTGAGTGGAAGGACAGTTGAATGATCTTTTGGTATGAGTAAATGCAACTTGAGTGTTTGCCAGGGGTCATGTCAAGGCTCACAGTTGCCAGGGGTCATGTCAAGGCTCACAGTTGCCAGGGGTCATCTCAAGGCTCACAGTTGCCAGGGGTCATGTCAAGGTTCACAGTTGCCAGGGGTCATGCCAAGGTTAACAGTTGCCAGGGAATCATGTCAAGGTCCACTGTACAATGGTTGGATGGTTATTTTATTTATTTATTTTTATTTTTTTGAGAGGAAGAAGGAAACTAATACTTTGGAAACTAAAGAGGTTGAGAAGAAGGAAGAATAGTAGTTCACAGGCTGACTACCTTACTACGGACTAGCCAAGGTAATAGTCTCATTAATATACAGTACCGGGCTGGTTATTGTAGGTACAGTGAAACCTCTATTTAATGGACTATATAGAGATGAAAGTCCATTATATCAAGGGTCCGTTAGATGTGAAACTCCCATGAATTATATAGAAAGAAATCCGTTGTATAGAGAATTCACTGTATTGTAATATATAGCCATTTGTTTGGTTGGCTGGCCCTTCCTAGAGTGTTTACAATAGTTGTCAGGATAGGAAAGAGTGAGGGAAAAGACGACAGGTGACTCTAGCTGTTGTTAGAGAAGATTGAGAGTGGCATCGCTGGAGAACAGAAAATACAGGACTCTATATTAAGGCAAAATAAAGGTTTAAACCCTTGTGTGCGGTTCTCCTCTGTGTTGATTGAAATCCTCTGGCATTATTAAAAGTGACATCTCCAAAGTGAAAGTTTTAAAGTTTGAGGGGAATTTTTATGATATTTATTCTTTATTTGTTATTATTGAATATTTATAGGGTTAATATTAGGTAAGATTTTTAGTTGAATAGATTTACAGGACAGTCTTATGCTTTATTTACATATATATACATCTTTCTACTTTTTTTTAATCCGGACTCCCCCTTCCTTGCCCACTCCCCAATTAATCGAGATGAACGAGAATTCCCTGTACGCGGTGTGTGAAGGTGGATTGCTGGGTAGGTTGGTGTCAGTATGATGAATGACATAATGGCATGTAGTTTTAATTCCTCAGGCAAGTTATTGAAGAGGTGCGGTGAAACCTCTATTTAAAGGATTATATGGCGGGGAAAGTTCGTTAAATCGATGGTCCTTTAGATGTGAAAACCCCAACTTATGGATTATATAGAGAAAGGAGTTCGTTATATGGAGGTCTCACTGTTTAGGTTTTTTAATTATTTTTGGTATTTCTTCTCTCTTGTGGGTATGGTGGAGTACCTGTTATGGATATACATTATTTACATCCATAGGGTCTCCTCTGTACCTGTATTCTCTGATTCTTTCTGGATGTTATTGATTTTAAGTGGTTGGGTTTTCCTTCTGTACCAGAGTGTTGCTGTAAACTTACGAGAAGCTGGTTTGGATTTTGCATCTCTCATCAAAGTTGTTTTATTTCTCGCTTGGTGTCGTTGACCTGTAGCGCGCCTGATCTGCCTCGGTGTGTTGTTATGAGAGGGATTTATTATCTGCGTACATAACATCTTTTTTTTTTCCTGGAGGTGGAATGTGTCAATTGTGTAGACGATATATGGGGTTGGAGAGAGGAAGCTCCCTTGTGGGACTCTGTTGGTCAGTGGGAAGGTCTCTCGTATGTGCTGTCCCACACTCAACACGCCAGACAAGAGACCACCACTGGGGTCTGGTTGACGTACACTAACACATTAACAAACTCAGGCCAAATGAAGACATTGTACTATAAATATCTTCGTTAAAACTTATGTTGTATAGATTCAGATATACAGTTTATATGTATAGTGTCCCCTGATGCTAGAACAATGCTCTCGTATAAAGGACAATGTTATTTTGGCTTCATTAGTGGGAAGTATAGTAGTGAAGTGTTACAGTGAAGTTTTGATCAGGGAGTTGTGCTTCTCCTGGCTCATGTACACTGTGCGCACCTCTCCTACTGTACCAACACTGTGTGGGAAATACTGTACTGTGCAGAGCACATTTGATTGTTGTGACTCAGAGCTATTATAACTGTTACGACTGTCAGAGAACTAGATGCTATGACTGTCAGAAAGCTGTGTGTTATGACTGTCAGAAAGCTGTGGAGTATGACTGCCAGAGTATATGACTGTCAGAGCTGTGTTATTTCTATCAGAGCTGTGTTATGACTGTCAGAGCTGTGTTATGACTGTCAGAGCTTCAAATACTTAACAGTTGTGTCAAAAATCTATTCAGGTGATGCGTGTATTGTTGAAGTTAAAAAAGAGAGATGCGTCATTACTTACTCTCCTGCATACAATGTTTTAACCTACTCTTAATCTACTTACTGTACATGTAGCTTTAGTGTAAATACCCAATACCCAGTCATAACCCGTGTACCGTGGGGAGAACTTCGGTTAGCACTCGTAGTTGATTTCAAGTTCAAAGTTTTAATATCCCGTAGTGTTAGGCGTCTCTTGATATAATTTATTCCGCTGGGCGACCATATATTATCTGATGTATTATATAACCTCGAAATCTCTGAAGATATTATAGATGGAACTTAATTCACATGTGGAAGTTTATCAAGAACTAGAAGAAAAAAACTTGAGAGTTGTTTATCAGTATAATAGAAGCTTGTGTTGTATCTATACTGCATGTCAGGCTATTGAGGTTTTAAATTGGTCAGATAATGTTAGGGACAGCCTGTAGTGTATAGTAGTAATAGGCTTCAGTTAAAACAGCCATAGATATGTCTGGCCTACAGTTTCCTAAGGCTGATTATTATACAGGCACTTAACACTGAAGCTGTCATTGTTATTGTCAGCGGGAAAGTGATATTTTAAATCATGCGTTCTGTGGCAATCAAGGCAGGTGAAATAGAGAACTATGAAGAACATCTCCAGCACAGTTCTGTGTTGTTTTTGAGAAGGTGTACGTTCCCTCAAGTAATCTTTTATCACAGTATGCTTATATTCGCCAAACTGCACCTGGATAATAACCCCTTGTGTACGGGCTCCCCTCTGAGCTGAATAAAATATCACAAGTGGCATCCCTGTAGTGAAGGGGTTAATATCCCATTTTGATATAAGTTTATAGTTATACAGTACCATATATGATGGCAGCATATTTTTATACTATGGTTCTATGTCTTACAAGACTCTGGATGTAAGGTACAGCGTTCATGTAATGATCCCTGTCGCTTTATGAAACATTCCACTCGGCACCATGACTACGCTAATATTTTATCTTACTTAGTATAATATTGATTTTACCAGATGGTGTATATAATATAAGGGGATTATACACCTGTGAATATAGACTAGTCTTTATGAGGTTTGACTTATATATATCTGGTAAAAATATTGGTCATGTCTTGACACTATTGAACATGTTGAAATATTTATAAACATGGAGGAAGGCTTTAGACTACAGTTCCATATTGTGAATTAATAACTTGTGTTTAATAACTTTTTGGAACTATTTTTTCATCTTATTGTAAATGAGATTGAGCGGTCATCCTGAGTGTATGAAATATAATTTGAATTATCCATTAAGGTATTGTAGTTCTGTAATTCTTTGTATTTTAAAGACCAATACAGTACTGTACCAGAAGTGTCACCCCCACAGTAGATTATGTTCCTTGGATAAATTAAGAATCACACTAAATGTAATACTGTATAATGTTGGCTGAATACGCTGTGCATGGCCTTATGTTACGGGGATGACCTACACGTTAACACTCGCAGGGCGGTGTTGGGATGCTGCAGCTCTCTGGACGGTAATAATCATATCATAGGAAAAATCAATCGGGGGAGTTGTAATGTTTTCTTATTATGGAGATTTATATAGAGCTGGGGACAGTTCAACATATTTATACACCACACTGAGTATTAAAAGGGGCATGTAGTGTTACCTTTGACCACTTGTGTGTGTAAATTGCCTCGCCCTGGACAGCGTTGGCTAGAAGGTCGGGTATCTTTATTACCTTTACGACTTCATATCAAAAGTGACGCGGTTGTTGTCACTGACGTCGGTAGTTCATTATATCAGCTAGTTAATCTTTGCTGAACGTTTCGCCACGACTGTTGTATAGCTTGAGAAGTACGTCTCGGCATTACGGATAATTTTGACCCAACCAAAACTTGTGTACAGGACGTCTTGTTAAAATGACCTATTTTTTATACCTCGATCTTTCTTGATTTTGCGTTTTGGGTAAATTTTTCATGGTATAGTTAGTTTCCGAAACTCAGGTGGTCTGAGGATCAGTATGTAAATTGGGTACATTACCATATCCCTGATTTGACTCCATACTGGATAAAGCTGACTCAGTACAGTACTCAGTTTCAACTCTGTGGTTCAGTCGTGACCACCAGTTGCTGCAGAATGGCTAGTTGTTTAAAGTCTTGTAATGTACAGTACTGGGAACACTTGGAGGATGGTATCTAGAGTATTACCTGGTCCATTATGGCTCTACCCTTCACACTGGCTGAGACATAACTACTGTACTGTATTATGAAATATTTGTAATGAAGACATTCTCTTATTGTTTTAGATAACTGTGCTTGGAATTGTACTGCAATGTGTGTGTGTGTGTACGTGTGTGTGTGTGCACGTCAAAGGTTGAAGCTGAGATATTTCATGTTATCTACTTTGCCTCCCCCCCTCCCCTAAACCCTAAAGAAACACTAAAAGACACTAGATTGTTGTGTTGGCTGTGTGTAAAGTGTTCTAGGCACAACACACTCCTATGTCTCTCTCTGCATTGAGGTTTATATGTCGTAATATAATACCGTACAGCAAAAAGTGGAATAGTCTCGTGCAATATGCTGAATTATTTTAAGTTGAGAACTACACGGGTGTTGGCAAGTGTAGTGTGCATGATGGCAGGTGTAGTATGTATAATGGCAGGTGTCGGGCATCTGATGGCAGGTGTTGGCAGTTGTAGCGTGTGATGGCACTGTGTGTGTGTGTGTGTGCAATACATAAATATTATAATCGTAATATATATAAAGGTAGCTTGTTGAATATACTGTATATGATTTTATATTGACAGTATGTAGAGTATAATTATGTAATCTATAATGAATATTTGATAATTATAACAAGAGTTGGTTGTTAAGTATTCATGGGGTAATGGTTTTTATTTTAATGGTGTAAATTTAAATAACCAGTTGTGTAGTTCAGGAATATAATATAATACATAAATATATTTTTAAAAAGTTAAGAATATATTATATAAATAATATATTGTACCTGATTTACTAAACAAAAGTTTGGAATAAAAAAAAATAGATTCTCAAATTGTTTTAATAATTTGAGGTGTTAGTGAGGCAAGATGTGTGAGGTGAGGTGTGTGAGGTGAGGTGTTAGTGAGACAAGACCTGTGAGATGAGGTGTTAGTGAGGCAAGATGTGTGAGGTGAGGTGTTAGTGAGGCAAGGTGTGTGAGGTGAGGTGTTAGTGAGGCAAGACCTGTGAGATGAGGTGTTAGTGAGGCAAGATGTGTGAGGTGAGGTGTTAGTGAGGCAAGGTGTGTGAGGTGAGGTGTTAGTGAGGCAAGACCTGTGAGATGAGGTGTTAGTGAGGCAAGATGTGTGAGGTGAGGGAATATTGAGTGATTAAAATTGACAAAATTTGACTTATAATACTAAGCTTCGACCTCCACTTCTGTTTAGGATATCTGGAGACATGACAGTACAGAAGACAAGTGCCGGGCATAACTGAGCTTAGGCAACACATGAATATACACACACACACACACACACACACACACACACACACACACACACACACACACACACACACACACACACACACACACACACACACACACACACACACACACACACACACACACACACACACACACACATATGCATATAAGGTTTTTCATAATCCCATATCATGTAGTGTAGGGTTTGGTGAAAAAGTCATCCTGGTAGTACACAATTACTTGGCCTTCGTTGGTGTATTTGCGCATCTATTATAACCTAACCAAACCTAATCTAACCCAAATTAACCTAACCTAACCAAACCTAATCTAATCCAAACTAACCTAACCAAACCTAATCTAACCCAAACTAACCTAACCAAACCTAATCTAACCCAAACTAACCTAACCTAATCACGTCTCGTCATTCCAAACACAGAAAACACGAGTCTGTTTTAACCCTCTTAAGTTTGCCAGTTGTTTCTGTAGCTCATTCATTCTGGGGAAATTGGGCCGCCATTGGTCGTTTTATTTTAAGTAAGGTGATTGGCCGATTGATCCTGGGTTCGGAGATGTGGTTGTGTCTGCACTGAGGATCACGGGAGTGGTTTCATGTGGTTCTATTTATTGTTAGATGGGCCCCAGTCCTAGTAGATCTCAGTCCTTGTAGGCCCCAGTCCCACTAGACCCCCAGTCCTTCTAGACCCCAATCTTAGCAGACCCTCAGTCCTACTAGACCCCAATCCTAGTAGATATCAGTCATACTAGACCCCAGTCTCACTAAACCTCAATCCTACTAAGACATCAATCCCACTTGACCCCAGTCCCATTAGACCCCACATAAAGAACATAAGTATTGGAAGCCCCTAGGACTAAGGTATACATTAGGGTTGTGACTTACATTCAATTTGTCAAGTCACGATTTCTTTGGTACATTTCAGAATTTTTGATTGATTGATTTTTTTTTCATTTTCCCATAATTAAAGGATAGAAATAAGTATGAAGACATATTTTTTTATAATTACCATCAACATCTACAGTACAATACTTGGCCAAAACATAAATAAAATAGCTCTGTCATATAAAATGGTGAAGATGTGTCGCTTGTCACATTATCTACTGAACTTGGCATCTTCACTTGATTTTGTATAGATGAGGTATTGAAACTTTTTGTAATAGTAAAAAAAAATAAGCTTATTGTTTTTCTTGGTGTTTATGATTGTTAAAAATGTGTAGAGGTTATTGAATATTTCATTATTTTACTATTTTATTGAAGATTTATCAAGTATTTTGTGAGTAAAGGAAGATATGAGGAATGTAGAATATCAAAGGCGTACATCTGACTGTCTCAAGTGAGCCTAATTCTCAGGCTGTATGGCATATTTTCCGCCTTATTTTTCTTTTGGGAATTATACCACACGGGCGGTGTAAGGTAACCATGCTACCTGACGCCATTATCTGATAGAGGTACGCTGGGGCTATGGACTGACGTAGAAAATAGGAAATTTGGTAACTCGGTGATACAGTACGTCTTTGGTATTGTAAACGCCTCATATACAGTACAGCATAGCCTCCATTTAACGGACGTCAATCTAACGGGTAAAGTTTGTTATATGGAGGTTTCACATATAATGAACCTTGATGTAATGGACTGTACTCTTACATAGTTTGTTATATGAAGGTTTTACATATAATGAACCTTGATATAATGGACTGTACTCCTACATACAGTCTGTTATGTGGAGGTTTTACATATAATGAACCTTGATATAATGGACTGTACTCTTACATACAGTCTGTTATATGGAGGTTTTACATATAATGAACCTCGGTATAATGAATTACACTCTCCCATATCATATAGTTCGTTAAATAGAGGTCTGACTGTAGTAGATGGTGTAGTGTGTGTGTGTGTGGCGGCCATGCTGTGCCAAGACGTGAGTACACTAACTTCAGGTCATTGTTGTACACTTTATTGTCACAGATAATTATTTAGTTTTTTCATATGGATGTATTTCTTCTTGTGTCAAGTATTTGCACATTGTATCATACAATTTAAAAAACTTTACTATTTGCACAAATCATTGGCTGCCATTTTAGGCACAGATAGAGCACAATTTCTTGCAACTTCTCATACGTATCTCTTCTTGATGTACTACTGTATATAATATATTAGTAGATGGTAGAGTTATATACTGTATGATAAATATATATATACATATCCTGTGTATATGTGAGATGATCCGGGTGAGAAATACACAATTGACAAAACTCGAAAAAATTATAGAAAACACAGTTAGAAATTAGGTACTGTATAAGTTTGAGGGTCATAATGACATACGTCTCTTATTGCTTTGTCACTTGTCTCCCTCTTGCCCGGGGCGCCTCATATATAGCGGGAAAATATTTTATTGTATGTTCACACGGTTTCAATATTAACGATAAGGCCAGTGTGCAGCAGCAGGGTGAGGCCTTGTGCTCTACAGGTACTGTTATCAAGTGGACAAACCTTTTATAATGTTAAGTATGGAGACGCATGCTTATTACTCTTTATATACTGTCAAACTTTTCTCTTTATTGTTGTTTTGACACCTTTCAAGAAAATGCTGAGCAGCTCAATGTTTGATTTACCCTTTTGGTTGGTTGTGTGTAGTACTGGAGAGTGTGAGTGATGGTGGTAGTTAATGATGCCTGAAACATGAGGACCAGCTTACAAGAGTGTTGTTGTGTTCTGTCACCTAGACCACCAATGAAACTTGTTGCACCAAGTTAACATTGATAGGGAAGGAGGCCATGGTCGGGGCACCACCCAGGGTCTTTGGTCAGGGCACAATTTGGGCCCTATGGTCAGAATACCCCCCAGGGCCTATGGTCGGGGTGATATTTGGGCCCTATGGTCAGGATACCCCTCAGGGCCTATGGTCATGATATCACCTGGAGCTTATGGTCAGGATACCCCAAATGTATAACAGACACAGCACATTGTACTTGTGGAAGTCTAATATGATGAGGGAAAACCTTAGGAGTTGTTTGTCAAGTGTAATAAAAACATCGTATTGTATCTGGAATGAACTTGAGTTTATTAGGTTTTAGAATGAGTCAAATAGTGTATGAAAAACATATATATTGTGTACAGTAAAAAGAGGGTCATCTTGAGGAGCAATCAAGGAAGTTATCATACTGGATGATGCTTGTTGACACCAAGATACAAAAGTGGCAGTAAATGGCAGCACAGCAGGAAAAAGGTTTGTCTATATACTTTTTAAAGGAAATTGTTTACTGTACAGAAAATAATACTCTTATATCTGTATTACAGGCTGACTTAAGAGCTCAACTTAGGCTCCTCCAGAACACAAGAGTTTGAGATCAGTTGTCAGCTTGAGGAACAAATAGGGAGGCGGCTTATTGCTGTACATTATTGAGAGGCAGCACAAGAGGTAAGATGGAAGAACATATAGTAATTATTAAGGAGAGGACGGTGCTGCTTAGAGGAAGTAACGGACTAAAATAGATGTTAGTTGTAGGGACGGCTGCCATTGTCTGTGGATGTTTTGCATTCCTTGAGTTCTATTTTTTGTGTCTGAGGGCGCAGTAGGAAATTTTTAGCTGCCAATTAAAGATTAAATCCAACACATGAACAGAAAATTTAGTTTTTGATTGATACCACAATATTAAATATCCAAATTGCCCAAAGTTCACCGTACACATTGTAACACATCTTAACATCGTGTGCAATATTCAACCAACATAGACGACCTTGCGACATAACTTCCACCAAAGGTCTTTAGTTGTGGCCTGCCATCGTCACTCGTTGAACAAAGTCTGTCACTCACACGTTGGTCACATAAACCAGTTAATGTTATGTTTAGGTGGGTGTAATGTGATTAATATATCCCTCCTTCCTCCCTGGTCAATGTATACCCCTGGGTGTTAAATGGCTTGGTTCTCAGTGCCCCAGGGTTGCTTCTAGTCTCTATGCTAACCTACTGTATACCTCAGAACACATGGTCAAGGAGGGCATGTACCCCTGGGTTAAAGTGGTCAAGGTATTGTCTGGGCATTTGATACCAGCTCAGGTTTATGTAAGAGAATATATAGTTTATATATTTTTCCTGTTTTAGTATTCAGCAATAAGCCAGGCAGCTGTTTTAACATTCACTGGCAGCACCTGAGATGTTTCACACACACACACACTTGGACAACTGGCCATCGACCGTCCTTAAGTTAAAAGTTACGAGCCAATAATCTTCCTCCGGTTACAGTATAGGGTAGATTGAGTTTAACTAGTCTTATTATAGTTGGGTTAAGTTTAGTTAAGTCTGAAGGATCATGATAGAAGTACTGGTGTGTCTCTCCTTGGCAGCGAAGTGTGGCCGAGGTAGGCGTTGTGATGCACCAACCACCCAACAGCTGAATAACTGGTGAAGTAATAAATATTATAACTCGCCCACACTCGGTTGCTACAGGCCGACCGTCCCGTGAGATGCGTTTATGCTCAATGGGTTAACGTCTAGCGTCAGCCATCAAGTTATTACCGTAATACCCTGTACAGAACACTTACGTCAACCCTCAATGATCCTCAACACATTACCTAACACGATTAAGAAACACAATCATGGGTATACAATCAGAAATAAATACAACTAAATAAAACAAGATTATTCATGTTTTTTTTTTATTCATCAACTTATAATTAAACAAATCAGTAAGTAAATTTTCCATCATGTGTTTGTTTGTTTATTTACGCAGTATAGTTCGGTCGTGGCAGATTGCTTACTGACGTCAAGGCACGGATTACTTTTCTATGGTAACTGGAAGCCAAAAGCAACCCTCATACCTTATTGGTTGCCGAGTCAATCAACATTTAAACTTTTATTTTTTCGTTGTAACAAAATAGATTTAACTTTCTCTGTTCCTGATTATTGACACACGACAATATAATTTAATAGTAAAAAGAATTGATATTAATTTGTGTTTCACATTTAAACAAATAATAAAAATTTTTCTCTTTGACTGATTTAGATTGTCAAGACTAGTTACTGTATTTGACTGATTAAGACTGTCCAGACCAGTTATTTGACTGATTTAGACTGTCAAGATGAGTTATTTGACTGATTTAGACTGTCAAGATGAGTTATTTGACTGAGACTGTCCAGACCAGTTATTTGACAGATTTAAGCTGTCAAGAAGAGTTATTTGACTGATTTAAACTATCAAGAGGAGTTATTTGACAGATTTAAGCTGTCAAGAAGAGTTATTTGACTGATTTAAACTATCAAGAGGAGTTATTTGACTGATTTAGACTGTCAAGAGGAGTTATTTGACTGATTTAGACTATCAAGATGAATTATTTGACTGATTTAGACTGTCAAATGTAAAGTAACAAAAGTAAATATAAAAGACTATTGGAAGGAGTTAACAGTAGTACAGTAGTGTCCTGTATACACTTGTTTTTAGTGGCAGCTTAATTGTAGGTGATAACTGATGCTTGTAAGAAGTTGTAGGTGATAACTGATGCTTGTAAGAAGTTGTAGGTAATAACTGATGCTTGTAGGAAGTTGTAGGTGATAACTGATGCTTGTAGGAAGTTGTAGGTGATAACTGATGCTTGTAGGAAGTTGTAGGTGATAACTGATGCTTGTAGGAAGTTGTAGGTAATAACTGATGCTTGTAGGAAGTTGTAGGTAATAACTGATGCTTGTAGGAAGTTGTAGGTAATAACTGATGCTTGTAGGAAGTTGTAGGTGATAACTGATGCTTGTAGGAAGTTGTAGGTAATAACTGATGCTTGTAGGAAGTTGTAGGTGATAACTGATGCTTGTAGAAAGTTGTAGGTAATAACTGATGCTTGTAAGAAGTTGTAGGTAATAACTGATGCTTGTAGGAAGTTGTAGCTACATCTGGTTATTGTTGTTCAGTCATTATTGTTGTTGTAGTCAAGGGATAAACTCGTTCAGAGATTTATAAGCTTTGTTCATCTGTGGTTGTAGTCCAAGCCTCTGGTATCATCTGGGCTGCTCTGTCATCTTCCGTTGTGCTTGATGAGACAACCCTTAACCTCTCCATATATTTAGTGTATAAATGCAAGCACTACTATTTGTTTAGTTCATATAATAACCAAAACAGATTAAGAGTTTCAAATGCTGCTTAGTGTACAGTATTGAACATTTTAAAGATACAAACTTGGTCAGTGTGTGAAAAGTTTGGTAAAGGTTTAACAAGTGGCCGTCGTTCTCACCCCGGGTCGTACTAAACAGTGGTTAAGAGTTTTAAGACTATCCAAGACGGGATTGGTAAATTTTATATCTATAGACGACACAAAACCAACCATGACTGCGCCGAGGACTGTTTGTTTAGGTTCGTGTCGTCTTAAAATTTACCGGGTCGTCCCGCTCGTGGTGGTTTACTAACAGTGGTCACGTAGAGTGAGAACTAGAGACAGACAGACAGACAGACAGAGACACAGGTTATTGTTATTACTGACATGAACAGTATACAGTAATATAAAATTCATATAAAAAATAAAGGTTTTATTTGAAGTTTTCCCGTGCAAAGACTTACCATTTATAACAAAGCTAATACATGATTACACCTCCTTTTCTTAACACTTCACATTATTATTAAGAAAACATAAGAAACACCTTGGCATGATAAGGCATAGAACAAGGCAATGGCACTTTTTATATTATGTACATAGGACCCATGTACTTAAAACAGTACACATTATGGATAAGTCTTCAACAAAACAATGAACATCCAAAATGCTCAAGTCTTTGGCAAGAGGGATACACTCAAGAGTCTTTGTATGTAAATGCAGCTCAGAATTCCTAGATATGTTAAAAAGTGTTCTTCATTCACACGAACTTCACATGCAAAATACCACTACGGTATTCGCTGGTCGGTTACAACTCGACTCGGTAACCCGACTATCTCACGCAGTCTAAACACAAGCCAAGTATTCATCACAATCTCTTTCAGTCTATTGCAACAGATAATATTAATATCAATTTCATCAATATTACACAAAACATCACTATGGTTTAAATGACTTGATACAGCTTGACCTCAGATGTTTCACTCTGGAAGTCAAACGGCGCAGTGATGTTTGGGTTGTGTGGGGCCACTTCTCTGGTCCACTCCGGGTGACGGAACCCACACTGAAAGAGAGAGTTTGGTCATTTATCAACACATGTCAGAGAGGAGGGACCTTTCACCCTTTTCTCTCACTTTCATCACCTGTTTATCAATAATTTCTCCTAGTGTTTTCCCCTTCTAAGATCCTCGCCCGCATCGCATCGAATCCTTGTTATTATTTCACAGTAAAGTTAAATGATTAGGGAAATATATTCCTTGACGTTTGTAAGATTTAAACTGACTGATTCCAAACAGTACGTCCGGCGTCATAACACTTGAACCTCACTAATTGGACATCCTCGGGGTTACAACCCATTTGAATTACCTGAAGAATATGAATTAACCGAGTATTTAATGTTGCTCAGGTAATACGTAACTGCAGGAGGACTGAGCAGAGACAGTAATACAAAACACCTGGACTATATGTACCAGAGTTGGGCTCAGGTCATGTATGTAGTTCACCCTAGCTTGAAGATGCATCTGACAGTGCTTAAAATTGTGTGGAATATTATTAGTTTATCCGAGAGAGAGAAGCTCCTGACTCGTATCAAACGCTGTTCCTTATTATACTTTTTAAAATATAAAACTAGTCCTTACATCTATATACTGTAGAGAGTCTTCTAGGGAAGGTATGGTGACCAGCAGAGCTCCCTTCTTGGCATTTGATCGTAGAAATGCCCAAATGCGCGCTTGAACGCTTGCTGGCATGAAGAACTCGAACACGTTGTTGAGACAAATTATGTCGGCAGCGCGCACCACCTCCCCTTGTTCCTGGATGTCACCCGGTAACACCTGAACGCGATCCTGAAATGTAGAGTTCGTTATTACTTGTGTGGAAAATGGTTGCAAAATGATTATGATAAATGTTGAAGTTTGACACAGCTACAGTACTTAAGTTTAGTGATTACCTGTACAAGTTATTACAATAAGATCACTGTCTCAAATTGTCACAAATGAGTCAAAAATTACCATCTGATCTTGAGTTCTAAATGTGAAAGAGAAGAGAAAAGGAGAGAGAGAGATAGATAGACAGAAAGGCTTACCTGAAACTGATATTTATTGATGATGGTCTGCTGAACTTGGCATAAGTCTTGATTAATTTCCACTCCAACTATTCTCCGGCATTTTGTGTATATGTAAGCCTGCAACACAAAACACATTAACACACTCTTCTGGGATAGATAAATAAACAAACTGATATTTATTCAGTATGAAACCCTTGTGTAAATATAATCTTACTTCCTGTATATATATATAAAACAAACAAACAACTAACTGCTGTGCTATTTACATATTAACTTGTGCTGCAAACATAATCTCAGCCTGTATTCTGTATAGATAAAAGCAACTAATTCATCTACTCACCCCATAAAGTACTGCTCCTAATCTGGATCCAACGTCCAGTAATATGGTGTCTTCAGGTATGGGGGGAAGTAATGCTCGGAAGATGTAAGCTAATCTTTCTCTTGAAGCCGAGTGACTGATATACGCTGCAACGCAATGATAAAGAGTTATAAGCCTTTATCAGAGCTATATGTCTATGATTATTAAACTTAGTGAGGCTTATTAATGCATAGAAAACTGTATTGATAGGTAGGTGTTTCTTCAGTAAAATATACATAGACAGTGCAGGTATACTGTCTACAATGCACAGTTAGCTAGACGACTACATTCAGCTGAGGAGACCCGTTGCCAAAGCCTTCCATTATCCTGCATTGTAATTTCTCCCAACTGATATATACTTCCTTTCCTCACCCCCCAGTACCCCCTCCCCTACAGAAAGAAATCTACACCGACACGTCCATCCCCTCTGCCTCCCTCTCACTCGCGTTCGAATTCAGAGTTCAGGGTTAACACCTCCGGGAGAGATAGGACTGGCAACGCTAAGTGGTAAACACGGGAGTACCTAGACGGTGCAGGTATACGAACGACATACGTAGACATACACCCAATAAGAAATATTTTGAGGATATTACACAAATATTTAAACAAGAAGTGAAAACAAAACAAGAAATATAAGATAAGAGATTAATATAACAAAGACTCCAGGCTGTACTGTGCTCACTTATAGGCTGAGTGTTGTGAGAGGAACAGTCGACACAGTAGTTACGGGCCAACTCCCCAGTGTCACACAACTCGTCGACCATATCCTCATCGTAGAGGAATGCGTCTACGTGCAGGGTGTGGGATGGATCGCAGTCTGCATTCTGAAATGAAAATACACTGATGAAAATTTATGATAACTGCATAAAGTTGATAAATTCTGATGATATATAACTCAACTTTTTAATTTTCCAGCAGCTGAACACTTTATACCTATCACTATAACTATTATCAGCTGCTTCTTCTCTCTCTCACGTTGAGTATTCAGTAAAATCAGGGGTATTAAATTTTGCATATCTCTGAACCCATTAAGCTCAAATCTAGTTCTTTTCTGATTGTGTAAATATTTCTCTAGTGTTCATCATCACCATCACTATTTTACAGCCATTTTCCACACGTGTGTAGGTCAGATGTGATTACCCGATGGTTTGATGTTCCAGTACCATCATGTAAAGTTTATGGCCGGATGCCTTCTCTATTACCAACCCTCTTTTACAGAACAGGAACTGGGCATTATTTATACAGCTTACGTAATGTATATGTACTTATTATCCCCTGCCTACAATCATGTCTATAAATAATTTTATTTTTATTTTGCTAAAGACAGTGCAAAAGGATTAAAGAAACAAGTGAATGTGTGTGTGTGTGTGTACTGTACCTCTCCTACAGATGGGAACGTGATTTGTTCTGTAGGTAAAATGGCATTAAGTGGCATGATCTCGCGCAGGTCATCGGCAATCTTGCGTAATTTGGTGTCCCCCGAGCTGTAATCTGAGGTGCAGACGGGTGCCAGTGGCGGAGGTGGGCATGGTGGGGGACATACCATCAAGGTTGGGGGCACTGTGAACAAATGAAATAAAACAAAAAAATAACATAACAATTTAAAGGAGTGTGTCAATACATATTTATAAACTAAGAAACCATTATTAAAACTAAAAAGTCATTTTGCATAATGACACCAAGGGTTAAATAGGAACTTAACCCAAGTCAAATTATGTTATCATAGTCTGTGAGTGAAGCTGAAGAACTGGTAAACATCCAGGTGTCTGTAGGTACATGTTTCCTTGGCAAGTAACTGTACTGCATGACACAAGGAAGCTTAATACTGTACTAATATCATCAAAATACAAAGGTTATGAATAATACTTGTGGTGCAGTTGTGGAAATTTGTCTAGGATGGCTGCATTTAGTTTCTCTGATGTTGCAAAGTGTTGTTGTACTGTGCTGGGCTGTGATGGTACTGTCCTCAGCTGCATCACAAGTTGACCTATGACCCAGAGTGACCACCAGGAGGTACAGTTACAATAACAAAAGACAGTCGCCTTCACCTCTATTAACTCAAATTTACGTGTGAAATGGTGGAGTCATGTTTTCATCCCCTTTGGTACTGTAGTTTAATATTACATCTCCCAGTACAGCATTATGTACGACTGAGGGCTGAAACATACAGCAGATGGCCACACATTCTGTTGATGATGCCTCTGATAAACCAACTCCGCCACCTTAAAGGAACTGTAACATATTCCGGATGATGTCAAATGCTACTCCACCCGACAAGCTGACACGTTCGATTTTGGCATTGGTTACACAGATCTCTACATCTTCAATATAATATCTGCCCCTACCTTAGTTGACTCACGATGACAGTACACCAGTCTGAACCACGTTATATGGCAGTCGAGTAACAAGACTACCGATGAAGTACGATACATGTGATCCAAAGTGTCAGTGACATATTTTACCCAACATGATAAAGAACACAAAGAGAGCATTAATTACCTCCCCTTATCCAGGTATCATCGACCCACGCTAAGAAAGCCTTGCGTGTCTCTGGTTGAGGAATCTGTTGCAGCACCGCCAGAAACGCCTCCTGTGCCCCCTTCAGGTCCATACTCCACCTGTAATAAGACCACATGTCAGCTCAACATCCATCAAGAAAGACAGGAGAAAATGACCCTAGTTAACAGTCCTACTCTAAAATGGCCCTATGGTGTGACTAAAATGGCCCTATGGTGTGACTAAAATGGCCCTATGGTGTGACTAAAATGGCCCTATGGTGTGACTAAAATGGCCCTATGGTGTGACTAAAATGGCCCTATGGTGTGACTAAAATGGCCCTATGGTGTGACTAAAATGGCCTTACACTCTAGGGCCATTCTGTTTGGTTTACTTACTCCATAGAACATAATAAAGTAAAAATTGTACATGTGTTAAATTCAAAACATTGCCAATGAAACATCCCGGCTGCGTCGACACCCCCGTGGCGTGATCATGTAACGGACTTCTTGTACATCACTCGGCAATAATAGTGTAGACGAGGCCTCTCGATAGTCTGGTCATGTATTACCTTGGGGTCTAAAAGAAACGGGGATAGAGGGATTATCACTCACAGGCTGTAAATGTCTAGGATGACTGTCAGGTACACTCGTTACAGAAAGCATGTTTACGATCTCGTGTTTGACAATAAGACACGGCGGACGAAGGATTTTGAAAACCCCACCGAGACAACAGGAGTCGGGGGAGTTTCATTATGAAATCGATCGGACTCGAGATATCTTTCCGAGCGAGTGTGCACATTTCTTGGCAAGTCATAATGTGTGCGTGTACATCATCAAGGCCTTATAAGCACGTACAGGAGTCATTGGTCAGTCATAACATCAAGCATGGTGGGGGGAGGGAGGAGATCAGTGGACTGTGATGCGCTACTACATTATGTATGGGTCGGATAATGGTTGTAATGTGTGTCACTCTCTCTACCAAATTACTTATACATTCTCATATAATTATCTTACATTACATATTGATTACAAACATACGTACCTGCTGTATAACAATGACAGTAATTACACAGCAACGTTTGGTGGGTAAAGTTATCACATTATCTCCTCTCCCTGGCACTAAGATCACTCACTGCCAAGCTAACCTAACCAAACACAAAAAAAATAACTAAAGTACAATTCCTCCAATATTTTTTTTTAATATTTGTGAGGTAATAAACGAATTTTCTTAAATATATTTTCCCTCTAAAGGTGTTCATTCTATCGAGGGTTGATGTTAACTATTACCCTGATATTACATACCTATGGCCTGGTTGGGTCTAACAATACCTGGCCACTAAACGCTGCTATGAGTAGATTTAACAGTAATTACGTTAAAAACAAATAAATTAAGGGATATTTGAGTATATTTGGTGATTGGTGCCACTAATCTCAGGTGACCGGCAGGTGTAGTCATTATCCCAGGTAAAACAGGTAATTAAATATATATAAATTAACGAATATAAACACCAAAATATTTACTAATTACCATTATTAGTTTTAAGATAAGGAAAAAAATACCTTTATAATTATACACAAGGGACAGGCTAGGTGAGAAATGTAGTCATGAAGGAGAGACAACGTGTGTGTATGTGTGTGTCAGCTGGTGTACACTCAGCTGATGTATGTAAACAACTAACAACTGAAGACCAACATGCGCAACGAATCAATGACTACAGATACTTTATATTTATTTTATGTATTTATGACATTATACGCTAAACAGGGAGCGTTGTTAAGTACAGACCATATGTGATTTATTATAATACAGTTCAACAGGTATATAGATAACGTAGGTATATAGTTCAGGAGGGATAAGTGAGGGCGAGAGGAAAGTGAGGGAAGGGTGGCTGAGGGAGGTGGGAAGGAGTAAACAAATGGAACATGTTAGTAAGTTGTTTATTTACAGAACACACCATCTCGTCCTCTTGATCCTTACACACATTCCACCAGACACAGACAAGACACTTTACAGACAGATAGTTACATGCTCTACAGACACACACAAACACTCACACCGACACAGGAGGAAGGGCGTAACAAGCGTGGGAGGAGCGACAGGAGATAAGGGATATGTCTTAATTTACACCAGGCTGATGGTGCACTGTTGTAGCTGCCATGATCCTTCCCTCTACACCCCTGCCCCTCCCTCCCTCCTTCCCACAACGCTTGACACTCCTTCTCTCCTCCCAAACCCTCCCTCCTTCCATTAGCATGTCCCTCCCTCCCTCCCTTACTGCTTGGCACTCCTCATCTCCCTTCCTCCCTCTGTATGGTCGAGGAGGAAGCTGTGGTCAGTGGCACCGAGTGTGAGTGTGTGGGTGTGTGTGTGTGTATGTATGTGAGTGTGTGTGTGTGTGAATGTGTATGTATGTGAGTGTGTGTGTGTGTGGATGTCTGAGTGGATGTCAGGACTGATAGTTACTTGAGTGGAGAGATAGTCACACAGACACTTATATGTACACAGACACACATGGACTCACGCACAGATACACTCAAGAGTAGTATATGTCTCTTATGAAACCCGGAATGTAAGCTAGTTTTGTATCCGTCTCCGTCCATCTGTCAGTCTCTGTCAGTCGCTTGAGTTAATTATTTCAGTCCATATATTGCTGAGGAACTTCTTGGGAGTCTGGCGTCGTGGTTGTTGTGGTTATTGGCGTCACGGAAAGCGTCACAACAGGAGCAGTAACAGAGGCGTGGGAACAGAGAACGGTAGTGGGCGTCAGAGAGAGGCGTCACAACAGAGGCGTGGGATCAGAAATAGTGGGCGTCAGAGAGGCTCCAACAAACAAGAGGCGTGGGACGAGAACGGTGGGCGTCAGAGAGAGGCGTCATAACGAAGCAGCAACAGAGGCGTGGGATCAGAGAACAGTGGGCGTCAAGAGGCGTCACAAAGACGTGGGATCAGAGAACAGTAGTGGGCGTCAGAAGAGGCGTCACAACAGAAGCAGCAACAGGGCGTGGGATCAGAGCGGTAGTGGGCGTCAGAGGCGTCACAACAGAGGCGTGGGATCGAGAGAACGGTAGTGGGCGTGGCGTCAGCAGGCAGCAACAGAGGCATGGGATCAGAGAACAGTAGTGGGCGTCAGAAGAGGCGTCTAGCAGAGGCGTGGGATCGAGAGAACGGTAGTGGGCGTCAGATGAAGGCGTCATAAAGAAGCAGCAACAGAGGCGTGGGATCAGAGAACAGTAGTGGGCGTCAGAGAGCGTCAAAGAGGCATGGGATCAGAGAACAGTAGTGGGCGTCAGAGAGAGGCGTCATAACAAGGAAACCCGACGGGATCAGAGAACAGTAGTGGGCGTCAGAGAGGCGTCACAACAGAGCGTGGGATCAGAGAACGATAGTGGGCGTCGAGGAAAGGCGTCAAACAGAGGCGTTGAAGAGAACAAGTAAGGAAGCTTGATTCATGGCTGGTGTTGACGTCCTCTATTGTTTATATGACTTCTTCTTCTTTGTATCAGGAGGAAGTGACGGAGAAGCCTTGTTGCTGCTGGTGATCTCATCGTATCTGGTCTGTCTGCCTGGTTGGTTGGCTGTATGTCTGTCTGTATTGTAGTCTGGTCTGTCTGTCTGGTTGGTTGTCTGTCTGTCTGTCTGTATTGTAGTCTGTCCTGTTGGTTGGTTGTCTGTCTGGCTGGCTGGTTTGTCTGTCTGTCTGTATTGTAGTCTGGTCTGTCTGTCTGGTTGGTTGTCTGTCTGGCTGGCTGGTTGGCTGTCTGTCTGTCTGGCTGGTTGGTTGTCTGTCTGTCTGTTCGTGCTGTTGTGTCTGGTCTGTCTGTCTGGTTGGTTGTCTGTCTGGCTGGCTGGTTGGCTGTCTGTCTGTCTGTATTGTAGTCTGGTCTGTTGGCTGGCTGTTGGCTGTCTGTCTGTCTGTATTGTAGTCTGGTCTGTCTGTCTGGTTGGTTGGCTGTCTGTCCGTCTGTATTGTAGTTCGTCTGTCGTCTGGTTGGTTGTCTGTATGTCTGTCTGTATTGTAGTCTGGTCTGTCCGTCTGGTTGGTTGTCTGTCGTCTGTCTGTATTGTAGTTCGGTCTGTCTGTATTGTAGTTGGTCTGTCCGTCTGGTTGGGTTGTCTGTCTGCCTGTATTGTAGTCTGTCTGTCTGTATTGTAGTCTGGTCGTTCTTCGGTTGGTGTTTGTCTGTCTGTCTGTATTAGCCGGGTCTGTCTGTCTGGTTGGTTGTCTGTCTGGCTGGCTGGTTGGCTGTCTGTCTGTCAAGAGGTCATTCACCACCAGGTATCGTACTGACTCACCTATTGTAAAGTATGATGATCGGCATGTCCGCTGGCTGTGACTTAACCTAACCTAACCCTAACCTGATCTGACCTGACCTGACTTAATCTAACTATATCTTAATTAGTCTAAAAGCCACACGTAGATGGTTGGAGGGTGGCAGACATTTGTGGGTGAGGGTGAATGGGTGGCAGACATTTGTGGGATGGGGGTAATGGATGGTGGGTGGCAGTATTTGTGGGTGAGGTGAATGGGTAAGACATTTGTGGGTGGGGGGGGAGACATTTGTGGGTGAGGGTGAATGGGGCAGACATTTGTGGGATGGGGGTGAAAGGAGTGGGTGGCAGATATTGGGGTGAGGGGGAAGTGGCAACTGTGGGTGTAAGTGATGAATGGGTGGCAGACATTTGTGGGTGGGGGGTGGCAGACATTTGTGGGTGAGGGTGAATGGGTGGCAGACATTTGTGGATGGGGGGAAAGGATGGTGGTGGCAGATATTTGTGGGTGAGGAATGGTGGCAGACATTTGTGGGTGGGTGTAAGTGGATGAATGGGTGGCAGACATTTGTGGGTGGGTACAAAAGGGACGGATGCCACACTAGTACTGTTTGAAGATGATGTGTAGAAGCCAGATGTGTGGGAGACATAGATGTGGGAGGGGGAGGGGGGGGGGGGGGGGGAAGGAGGGAAGTGCACATTGGGTGGAGGGTTGGTGGTGGGGCGGGTGGAGGCGGAGGTCCAAGAGAGTTGTGACACCACCAATCCTCAACATTGTGATGAACGCGGGTGTACCAGCTGTCTGAGAATCAACCCCTCCCCCTCCCTACCTCCCTCCCTCACCTCCCTC